GCAGAGCGGATCCTAACCCTTCCCATGGGGCAGGAGATGAGGAGCCGCAGCAGGGCTGTGGCATGAACTTCCTTCCTTAAGGAAACCCAAAATGCGCCCCCCCCGCCCCCCGCCCGACAAATGGCATGTGTTTTCTGGGAGGAGCTCTTGGGCGTGTGTGTCTGATGGAGGGGAAAAATGTCTGGAATTCGTTCCTTGGTTTGGTTCTTCCCTTTGGAGGGCCCTGCCCAAGCACACCCGCCATCAGAAGTGAACATGGGGCGGTGGGAGATGGGGTGTGTGCCAGCACATGGGAGGGAGGGCACAGTTGCTCTTCTCCACTGCGGAGGGTTTAATCTGAGTGTTTCTTGCTCCCAGCTTTCTCCCAGATGGGCTATAACCTGAGCCCCCAGTTTAGCCAGCTGCTGCTGGCCCGCTACGCCCAGCGATCCTCCAACCCCAGCATCCAGCTCGACCGCTTCATTCAGATCTGCATGCAGCTCCAGAGCACGACTGACGCCTTCCGCGAGAAGGACACGGGGCTGGTGGGCAACGTGCGGCTGAGCTACGAGGACTTCCTCACGATGGTCGTGACTCGCATGATGTGACGCCCTTGGCCGAGCGCTGCGAGCTGACCGGGAGCTCTGCGGGGCTCTCTGGAAGCATCCTCGGCCTCGCGCTGGGATGTGGCCGAGCCTCCCGAAGAGCGACCTGTTCCCCCAGGCTGGCTTTCCAGCCTGCTCCACCCGAGGAGCCCCAGGTCCTGCTGGGGCCCTCCTGGCTTCAATTCCTTGTCCCCACTCAATGGCAGTGGGTGCCTCCACGCCAAACCGGAGCCCGGTTCTGGGGCCGTGCCACGGGGTGGGACAGCCAAACCAGTAGCGAGCCTGTGCCATGCCTCCCAGGGAGAGCTTAGATCTTCCCTTACCAGACACAAAATCATACTTAAACCCCATCTGCGCTGTCCCTCTGCTTGGCGGGATGTCTGCAGTGGAACATCCCTGTCTCGGCACGCTTTTGGGGACTCTCCGGTGAGCAAGAGCTGAGCCTTCATTTGAAAAGCAGCAGGAAGGGCACAGGCGATGGCAGAGCTCATCCTTCCTTGCCTCGCAGACTGTCCTTCCTCGCCGGGAGCGTGTCCAAACCCTCAGCTGGGCTGGAAATACCCCAGCTTTCCTGGGGGTCTGAGCCCCGTTTCTCTCCATGCTGCTGGAACGGGCCACGCTGCTGCAGTCACACGCAGGATCATCGACCCCCGCCTTGTTGCCAATGTCTGGTTTGATTCGTCTCTGTCTGCTGAAGCCAAACTCAGAAACGGTTTAGAGCTTATTTTTACAGCTTTTGAATAAAAGGCAATGTGCGCTGGCTGCTGAGTGGTTTGTGTTTGCAGAGCAGCTCGCTGGGACGCTGCCCTGCCCCGTGTCACCCCCCGTGGGGCCAGCAGCAGCTCTGGGTGCGGGGAGGGGACCTGTCCTCCTCCTGCACCCGCAGCCCTGCTCTGGGTGCTGCTCCCAGGGATCCATACGCTTCCCTGAAGTTAGTTCTTACACATTTCGTGTCAACTTACAGAAAATAAGGTGCTGGGGTCTCCTGCTGAGATACAAGTAAAGATTTGACCAACACAAAGGTTTTCTTCCCTGTGGTTTTAAAGTGATGTCCAGGCGATTATCCTTTAATGGGCCTTGAGAAATCTCAGAGATGCTTTCGGAGACACACATTGCTATTATATATTTGAAGGAAATTTATAAAAATATTTAAAACACCGAGTAACTTACCTGATGCTTTTAGAAGCAATAACCAGATGTGGGTGTTTTCCTCGGCTTCAGCCAAAGGCAGGACATCTTTTTCTAGAGCAACACTAATCATTCCAACAATATTTTCCGTCTTCTGTTGCGTCGGAGCTGCCCAGCCTTTCGGAGGGATTTAAAGCAGAGGTGGTGTGGGCTGTCCCCCCCCGCATGTGTGTGTGTGTGTATATATATGTGTATATATATATATATAAAAAAAATGCCCAGGGAAGTCTGTCAGTGTGTGTACACACAGAGGATTGTCTCTGTGTGTACATAGACACCCCTGTGCCTATACCCCTGTCACACATGGAGTAAGACACCCCTGTGCCTATACAAATACACACACACTAATAGATAACCCTGTGATATATACATATATACACAAACACCACACTGTGTGCACACACTGACACCCCTCTGTGTGTGTGTGTATATATATACACACCGGGGGGTGAGGGGGTGTGTGGGGCGCCACCTGGCGGTGACAGCCGGCACTGCGCACACTGCGCCCCCCGATGTACAGGCACAGACGGGTATATACACACATACATACACATACATACACAGGCGCAGAGACATGCACACGGAGGTGTGTACGTACATACAACACATATATGTATACACACAGAGTGTAACAGCCCCCATGTATATATACACGCTAACAGACACCCCTATGTAGGCAGGCACACACACACTAACAGACACCCCACGTATATGCACATACACACATAGTAACAGATACCGCGTGCGCTCATGTGTGTGTATACAGACACTCTTAACAGGTACCCTTGTGTGTGGCTGTACATGCACACACACTGACAGGCACCACCAGTTATATACATACACCCCCCCC